GGGCATAGGACGCCTCAAACACAATTTACATGTACTTGCATTTTTAATTCGAGGGCTATACACTGGGGCCCAATGCACAGTGTTGTGGTCCGACATCCCAACTGGCGATGTAATTTGAGGTATCGCATACTTTTTCTGCAACTTCTCCAACGTATGAAAACTCGTTGACATTCCTATCTGGTTAAATTAGTGCACTTTTTAAAACTGTTCAAATTATCCAAGCTTTCCTAGACAATCGAGTGCGCTGTTACTGTGATGTCATCCAGGGAAGACAAAGGTCATTGCATAGGTTTTTCTGTTCAAACTGTGAACCCAGAATTTAATTACGGAAAACTTTCTGAGAAAGGAATTGTTGCTCGTTTATTGCTATGCATATAAAAAAAACCAATAAATCAGCGAAGTACAACCTAAGTCCAGCAAAATCTACAGATTTAAATGCAGAACTTTTTTGCATACAAACCAAAGTAATATTGAGGCTTTCTTCCTGAGATGATGTCACAGTTTCGTTAATGCATATCGAAATGCTCATGAGCATAAAAATCACAAAGGCAAAATACCCTTTGAAATATAGAAATAAAAGTTGAAAATGAGGTTAACTGAGACACGAAGGTGCCTTTTGAAGGCCTATACTTAATCAAATTGATTGAAGCTGCCCTTTAACTTTTCCGAAATGTTAAAGTTCACTTGTGCTCGAAATATTGATGAATTTAGTGCGTAAACTGGTACCCAGGTCTAACGGTGGGCCATACACGTGACAGGATAGGTCGCTGTGGATTTGTGAATTTGTCTCCAGATCACGTTTACAAACCTATCGGTGCGTTCATGCATGACATATTGCGGTTTTATCATCATGGGTATCATGGAGATGGATTCCTCACAAAGTCAACGGCCATTCAATTACAATTCACCATAAAGGTTGACAACAAAGTTACGCACGCAGTCTTGCCAGTGGCGGGCATGAGTGCGGATGTGAAGGTTGGCAAATTTCAACAGATACAAAAGGGAAAATCGGAACGTTGATTGAAATTGAATGGGACTATGAAAATGGTTTATAAAGGGGCGAAATTTTCCTGTTTTCAAGGGACACACAAAACTGTCGCTGAGGTGAGGCGTGCTGGATCAAGTGTGTATTATTGACGGCGATAGTGGTACCTGCTTTTTGGGCAGATAGGAATCCGAAGTACATACGGTAATGCAAACAGTTAAGTTACAGCTTTGGTACGGTGACTAGAGAAGCTTCTATGTGTACAATTTTCAGGGAGCTTCTACGGGGGGCGTGCCCCTTGGGTCATGCGCCACCTTGCCAGCACAGCGACAGTGACAGTGCAGGCTGAGCCAGGCTCACTGGCCAAGCATTGTCACTGGAGGCTAGTTTGACACCAGGAAGGAATTGGCGTTAGATGACGACGACATTGTGTAGCTGTGATGAATTTTCTCATACACAATTTTTCTTCAACTTTGAACTCTTCTTCAATGTATGAAAACTTTTTCACATTCACATTTGGTTAAATCCATCGAAAAGTGCACTTTTTTAAACAATCAAAATTATCCTTGCTTTTCTGGGCAGCAGTTGCTGTGAAGTCATCTGGGGAAGACATGGTTCAGTGCATAGGTTTTTCTGTTAAAATTGTGAAATCAGAATTTACTTATTAAGAACAGTTCTGAGAAAGGGCTTGATGCTTGCTTATTGCCATGCACGTGAACAACAACGAATCACAAAAAAAAAATGAGTCCAGCAAAATCAACCAAAATGCAGGACTTTTTGTGTGCAAAGTTATGTATCATCGAGGCTTCTTAGTCTTGTTCATGAATATGGAAATACTCATAAGCATTAAAACTAAAACTGCAGCAAAATACCCTTAGAGGTAGTGAAACAAAAGTTGAGAATACGGTTAACAGAGCCACAAAGTTGCATTTTGAAGGTTTGTATTAAAACAAATTGGTTGCAGCTACCCTTCCAGGCAATGAAGAGAAGATAGCACGTTACAAACGACACAGTAGTGCCAAAAGAGGTTGTGCTGTGGTAACCAGTTCGACAATGACTGGGGAATGTGAGTAATGACTGCAACGACACGCAGCACCTCAAGTGACAAACATGGAAACTGCAAGTCACTTTCTGACATTTACGGTCAGTTGAATAGGGCTATAGTTTTGTTGTTATGATATCCAATAAAGCGATTTATTTCAATTTTAATTAAATAGCGACTGGAACTCAACTAATTTAATTTACATCTCCCCGGCGCAAATCCATCTTTGAAATAGTTGTTCGCAGTACCCGCTGCTACACGTGATTCGAACCAGCCAGCCAACACCGACAAGCTCGGTGGTCGAGTGGTTAAGACGTCTACACTAACAAGCAGGAGTCGTGGGTTCGAGTCCCATCCGAGTACGTTTGTGTTTTTTTCACAAACCTTCGGGGGCATACACTGAGCATACAGTGTTAAAATGCACGTCGGGCAGGGCAAAAAAAAATTCCAAAATGAATTTACATCTCTCCGGCGCAAATCCATCTTTGAAATATTCCTGGAACTCTACCCTGTTACGAGTAATTGTTAAACGGACAATATGGTGGATACAAAAAATAATGCATTAGCATGTAAATTTGTGCATGGAAATGCACGCTCATGTCAATGAAAACATTATTATGGTTAGAATAACGAGATAATAGGCCTAAGTAGTCAAGCATGACAGACACAACTCGTAATTTTGTGATCTCGCTATTTCTAATTTGGAAGTTCACAGATCATAGTTGTGGTGTGCCAGAATAAATTGGCATCTTTACCATAAAAGTCCTATTTCGATATCATTGTGTTTTGGGGGAACATTGATGATTAATCATTCATAAATAGGCCTGCCTGGGACAGTTTTTTCTATTCCTATTGGTCGAAAGGCGTCACGTGACCGTGTATTAACATTTAGTAATGCCCGCCAAAAAGTGATAATGCCTGCTGCTTCAATCACGAGCTGGCACGTGGATAGGAGACAGTTTAATCGAGTCTGATTGGTCAGAATCTGCTCGCCCTGACAAAGGTGCCGGTTCGTAAGTGTGACGTCACTTTAGTTAAAACCACGCCTACTGCAAATGCACTGCTAAGAAAATACATGCATTGATCGCCGTTTTCATGGAACCATGGAACAAGAGGTTAACGCGCAACTTCAGCGATCGTCCAGTGGGAGCCTGCAATTCGTGGCGCGTCCGCGTGTATGACGAAGTCACTTACGAATCAGATACATTTAAAAATACATATTAGGCAACTTTCAAAAGCAATATGCCATAAAATGGACGGTGATGTTCGGGAAAATTAAAGTAAAAATTTTAGAACAAACTCATTGGAAATCCATCATGATGACTTCTTTTGGCTCTCTGAATTAAAAGGTATTTATGAATAGGAATAAATATGTGCTTTTACCATTAGTCGCGTGCATTCCCCTCGGGCGGTCTTGAACGCGCTTTTAAGACCGGTCAAGCACATATTTATTCCCTTAGTAAATAGGCTGTCATTGTCATGAGACCATAAAATTACTTTCTGGAAGCAACCATTTGATAAACAGTGGAGATTGCATTGGCAGTAAAATTAATAAAATGGAAAGGATCGTATGTACCTGATGTTGATCGATGTATCGTGTGTCACGCGAACGTGTTTACCTTTTTTTTCTGGGGAAATCAGTTACAAGTAACATCCATAGGTTTCACACGGCTGTTTCATATTCGGAGTGAGACATCCGTGGTAGAGGGTCTGCGCAGAATCAGAATTTTGCGTGTCTGTCGCAAGCCAGAGTTTTCATACCTGCTTTCACCAAATCCGTTTTGATTTTAGGAGCGGCCCAATTTTTATTTGTCATCTCAATGTAGACAGCAAGTTTGCATTTCCGTTGGTGCGATGCTTGCGTGTTGGTAAACCGTTTATTGGAGTGTCTCACTGAAGGGTTAAAATTTCGTTCTAATGGCTTTAGTTTCGAGAAATAAACTGATCATGCCATATTATTTATATTTCCAGTAAGAGATGAGATTTCCCAGAAGTGTGAAGGACCTTGGCAATATGAAACTACATTTACAGTCGTACAGTTTGCTCAAAATGCTGGCAGGTTTAAAACAACTGCATTGCACTGAACGGTGGCGACAGCATGCGATGTCACTTTGTTTATTAACGGGTTATTGCAGTGTTAACTGCTCTATCATCGCAATGGTGTTTATGTAATACTCTCTTCTAAAATACTACAGGAATATTTCATTATTAACATGATGTTGGTGAATCAGTCTACGTAATAACATTAGTCTGTGTTCTCGATAACGACGCTAAATATTTAAAGATGTAATTTTTGGACGACAATTTTGCCATTCCATGAGCCCAACGGCGACCTGATTAACAATACAGAGCGGGTGATTCAGTTGGTGGATGTTAACTGGACCAACCCACGTCAGTCATCAGTAGCATGCATCCGTGCGTAACCCTTTAGAAAGCAGTCGCATACTTGATTATATTCCGAGCCATATGCTGCGATGCGATGACTCTGGCGCGTTCATATATGAACCTGCATTCACTTGCGCCGAACTCGTTTTGCAACTATACCCTCGTCACTATTTTAAGGTCTTCCTAGTAATAAGAATAGCGTCGCAGCCGAGCAGGACTGGCCCATTTACATCTTATTTTCGCGGTCTGTCCGAGGTCTGTTAGTGCTGACGTTGCGGAGGTGATACGGTCATTACAGCCCTCACACAGAACGATAAAACAAGCTTCCTCAAGAAGAGTGCTCGAGCGTCGGTGCCCGGAGTATCTGCTTTCGACTGCTGCGTGATTGAGATGTTATCGTCGCCGACCCGCCGCTGAGATTTCTCTCGGTGCCACCTGGAAGTTTTCAGTAGTCACACCTCAGTCTAAGTGCACCATTTATTTCACTGATTCGTTACTGGCTTCGACATAGGACGGGATATTCTCTCGGCTCGAAGAGTAGAAACTTTCTCGTCTTTCGCTTATTCGTTGGCGAGTTGAAATCGAACGATGGCAGACATCGGCACCTTGAACAGCACCTTGGGGGATTCGCTCTTTACCTACGAGGAAAGGGTAGTGGTGGCTGTTCTCGTCCTGATTATATTTGTCGTGGGGACCATAGGCAATTGCATCGTCATCCTCGCTGTCATGCTGTCCAAGCAATTACAGAACAACACCAACGTGTTCGTGGTGAGCCTGGCCGCTACCGATCTCTGCTACTGCCTGCTATTGCCGGTGAGCAACGTTGCAGCCCTCCTCTCGGTCGACGGATGGCCGTTGCACTCAAAAGGCCTCTGCTTTCTCTTGGCCCTGATGTCATTCACCTGTGGGGGAGCCAGCCTGTACAACCTGGCCTGTATCGCTCTCAACCGCCTGCTGCTCATAAGGGGCCCCGCAGCAGCTTACCACTGGCTCTTCACGCCCAAGAAAATCGTCATCATGGTGGTGTGCACGTGGGCCATACCGTTAGTTGCCTTGCTCATCCCACCTGCCTTTGGCGTCGGCGAGCTTGGATATGATCCGGGCGACAATACCTGCAGTGACATCGATTATCACCCAAGGTCCTCCGACTACCAGCTGGTCCAGGCTTTCTGCATCTACCCAATCCCCTTGGCCACCATCGTCATCAGTTACTCGCTGATCTTTGTACACGTCAAGCGCCACTTTGAGCGTAAGGAGGAGTCGTTTCGATCATCCCACGAAATGTTATCTGGTGCGCGTCCCGACGAGACCACGCGAGAGCTGGAGGTCCGCTTCAAAAAGCGCGTCAACAGGCAGCAGCTACAGATCACCACGAATCTCTTCATGGTATCCAGTGCCTTCGTGGTGTTCAGCGCCCCGTATTCCTTCACCTTGCTGGTGCCACACTCCGGCAGGGTCTTGCTGTTTCTCTCGGTGCCGTTCACCTTCAACAGCTGCCTGAATCCCATCATCTACACGGTGAATCACCCGCGCTTCAACCGAGTGATCCGCTGCATCTTACGCTGCAGGTTCGGCGAGATACCCAAACCATCCCGTCTGCTCTTGGCTGCCCGTGCTAAGTGTGGATCCGTGCAGTGTGAGTGAATCTAGCATTGTATTACCTTTCTCTCAATGCGTTTCAGCAAATCTCATTGTGCTGCCATGATGAGATCATAGTTCGACTGTATCAAAAGAAACTAAGAATACCCCACTTCGAGAGACCATACGCGGCTGAAATTCAATATGACTGTAATGATATTCAAAGACACAGTATGTGCCAGCTTGGGGCATAGTATAAGACTTAAGATATTGCCACAAAAGATAAAGTGATTCTAGTGCTAAATGGAGCGATGAACGAAACAAAAGCTGTCGTTAGTAGCACAAAGCGTGCTTTACCATTGTGCATGATAGTGAATTTTGAGTAATTGACATCACTTGGCGAACTCCAATCTACGCACTGTATAAGAAGCTCCCTCACCTAGTGCTATAGTATAGTGACGGCAGAAGCGACGGTGTAACAAGCTTTAGGCCTACACGTTAGAGGTGAGGAGCATGTATTTTACAAGGTGGGTGGTAGGGTTCTGCCTCCATCACCGGGGAGGATTCCAAGTGGTGCAGTGACTTCATGTTCAAAATCATGGGTGTCGAAAGGGAGGGGAAGATTTGAAGAATTGGAAGGAGAGAAAGGGGCGGAAAATCTTGTCGAAAGGGATGAAGATGTCTTGGAATAGCTATGAGTATAGAAAGATATCCAAAATTCTGGCGTGTTAGTGCAGAAATTGCAATTATTTCTGTCTAAATTTTCCTTGCAATTATACAAAGGTACGTGTACATTACAACGATTACGTAGGCTACGCTTATTGGGTTGTTTCCATAATTTTCTGCAAAACCACTCCGTGGAGCGCTGAATTATTTGCTCTACCGGTAGAGTAGTAGTGTGCGCCAAAAAATCCAAAGATCCAATTTTCTACAGGATTTTGTTTCTGCCATGGGTTTGCATCCACTACAGTACTGTACACCGTAAACGGCGTGTAGAGTTGTTCACGTTGTACCCGTTTTGAAACGCGTTTAACCTGCAACATGTTTTTGAAATACGCCTAGGAATGTGATAAATGCTAAACGCTTTTCCGCGGTACACGTTTAGCTCTGTGAGATCCACTTGGAATTTAAACATATTCCTAAACGCATATCAACGTAAATGTCCAGACATGTCGTAGGTGAAACGGGTTTTAAAAGAGGGTACAGAAGTGTACAGAAAGTCTTTTTACCTTGTACTTTACACTAATTAAAACTATTGCCCGAAGTGCGTATTACTGTGACGTTGTCCCAGCCGAATCATGTAAGAAGAAGCCACTGATTCGAAAAGCACACGTTCTATCTTGTTTTTTGCTTTGGGACTCGAATCATAGCAACCACAAAGCTAGTCTCTGTTTGTGGCAGCGCCCTCAACGACGGAATGAATACATTTTACATTTTAGTTCATGTCACGCGTGCATTGAGGATTTTTAAAGTGAAGAAACAGCCATGGAGCAAATTGCCTTTGATATCTTATGTTTTTCTGATGGAGGCAGTACAGAAAACAAACTAAAAAAACAATTAAAAATCACATGCCTAAGGCCACAAATGCAAGTTGCTTGGGAAAACGAGGTAATCAACGCAGGGCGATGGCCAGAGATCAGTGGCGCAAACACTGACCTCTTCACGGTCCATTTATCCCCCGTCCCATTACAGGCGACAGATGTCCCAAATTTTATTTTCCCCAAATTAGAAAAAGATTGCAAGGTTCGTTTTGATAGATCTGAAGTAATTGGATATCAGGACATCAGTGTGTGCCATGAGGGTATTGCAATAAATGATAGGCCGAGTCCCATCAGAGTCTTCTAAAATATTTATTGCTTTAAAACAATTCAAGGGCAGAGACAGAACTGGGATAATTCCATTTTTTTGGGGGGGGGAGATCGGGGAATTATTTGTAATAGCTTGTAAAGCGTTTCCACGGGAGATACAATTGGGGTTTGATTACATGCTTTTGGTATTAAGAGAAACGAAAAGTCCAAAAAATCGCTTTCTGTCATTATTGTTATTATTATTATTATTTTTAACAAAAAAGCATTTTCTTCAGGGTGAGGGTTGTTCGTCATTTCCTTTGTAGATGTGCCGATGGTTGTGCTTAAAAGTCTCAGAGTTTTTCAGTTTTTGCTTGACAACTCATTCACAGCACTTTTCTAGGAGAAGCTCACAGCGCCCGTGTAGATTTCAAACAAAGTCCTTAGTGTCAAAGTCCTGTATATAGTCGTTATGATTGCGCCAAGTAACTATCTTATTTTTTCTTGTTCTTACGTAAAGCTTGGGCATGATATCCCCTCCAATGTTTATCTCTTATCTGGCTTGAAATACAATGTTACGCTGGCTGAATGTTGATTGTACCTTAAAGGGATCTTGCCATGAAGATTACTTGGGAAAATATTCCGTGCGACTTTCTGAAGTACCACCTCTCCTTTTAGGTTGATTTTACTGGAAAGTGGACTTTTAAAGCGTTTCTTTTGTCTGTATTTTCTCACAAATGAGGGTTCTGCTGGTGTGCTATCATTTCAAGGAATACATGTTTAGTTATTTATTCATTTATTCATTTCTTCTTGGGGTCGGTTATTATTCTTACATTGAGAAACTTCGGATTTGCTTCACATCAGCTGCTGTCTGCAAAATTTCAGTTCAACTCCAGAACACAGCGTTACAGAATCTCATTTGTTCGAGTAGCTAGAGGCTTTTATTGATATATCGAGGTTGACTTCCCATTTATTTTAACTTGAGAGTGAAAATAAAAGTGAACACATGGGATGAAATTTCCTGACATGTAAAAATATACTTTAGTGTTTCAAGCCAGATTTTGAAAAAGAGAAGGCTTGAAACACCGTACACTAGTTATAAATTAGTCTGACAGCGTCTCATTAAACAGTTTACAATTTATGAAGCAGGTTCAAGGAACCATACCAGAAATGCTTATGACTTTACAGTGTGGTCAGCAAAACCCTTCCCTTAGGTCTGCATAATCTACAGCTAGCTGAATAAAGGAGACGCTCCGGTAGAAATATCTAGTTGTAAATTAGTCTGACAGCGTCTCATTAAACAGTTTACAATTTATGAAGCAGGTTCAAGGAACCATACCAGAAATGCTTATGACTTTACAGTGTGGTCAGCAAAACCCTTCCCTTAGGTCTGCATAATCTACAGCTAGCTGAATAAAGGAGACGCTCCGGTAGAAATACCTTAAAAGCGCCAATATTGAGCGGTTGTTCTCCAATCTGTCAATTATGAATTGTGTCCTCTCTCAGTCCTTCGACCCCACCAATTTCCCCTTTGTTTATTCCCCGCTGCGTGCCTTTTTATTAGAAGCAATATTTCTCAGGCCCTGATTGAAATACTGAGACAGAAATCAGTCTCATCATGTCCCCTAAAAAAGGTTCAGATACCATAAATCACCGTGATTGGTGCGAGGCGAGGAGGAAAGCCAAATTGTTATGGAGTTCTGAGGTAGATGTTCGCCTGAGTCATCTCAAAGGAGAAGGGAAACTCTTTCGAGTGGTCTGGCCATAAGTGAAGTCAAGTGCTTTCGAAGCCCTGATCACTGAAAGGAGAGTTACATTGCGGAGAAAGCGTAGGATGCTCAAGGAGTATAACATGGGTTCTTTTTCACCGCACGGACTTCCAAACAAATCCCGCTTAATGCAGTCCCTCCCAAGTTCTGTTTGGAGTGTCGAAGGTTGTTAACGATAACCGCGTCATGCAAGAAGGCAATCTTAATCCTCTCTGCAAACACGCGGTACATGTACAGCAGAGCAACAACATGTGTAAAAAATGCAGATAAATGCTTAGAATGTAACAGGAGACTTAAGGTGAGCCCTGAGCCTAGATAATTCAAATGCAGATAAGAATACGTGCAGAGGCACGTATTGCCAGGCGGTTGTGACTTCTACAAACATGCAGTTATTGCTCAGGGCCATTTTGAGAAAAATAACTTGAAAGACGAATCGGTCTTCCACAACGCAATACCAGTTTTGGAAAGAACTCTAGATTCTTGAGTGTTGCCCTAGCTTGACCTACATCGAACTTCCGGGAATCGGTTGCTGAGTGGGCCGTCCGTGGATCGTGGATCATTGATGTGACAATGGATTCGGTTCGGAATAATTACGGCGTGAAGGGGCAATCCCGCTCCTCTTCCTTTTTAAGCCAAGGGTCTGGTTCGATATCAAGACCGCGAGAAACCAGTTCCGGCTCCGGTCCCAAAGCGGAGAACCCCTTCAAGAGACAGCTGTCTGGAGGGAGCAGCAAATGGACCGGGGCCTTCCAAGCGGCCGCTGCCTCGATGTCTGGTCGTAGCAATGAACAAGTCCCTGCCCAGGAGACCTCTACCAAGCCCGGTCTGCTTGCCTGGCTGGAGGATAACTCCAACAGAACGAGAAAGGACACTCTGTACTTCGGCAAGGACATCTCAACGTCCATGTGGTGGCGGTTCCGGCGAGGTGGCGAGTCCAATTCCCAAAGGGCAGTGGACGCGGCGGACGAGGCGGGCCAGCTCCGATACGAGAACTCCTACCGAATGCAGCCCAAGCCGGGCTGTCACTTCCGTCCAGAGAAAGTGGAGGCGATCATGAACGAAGTCCTGGAGAGCGAGCTCAGTCACAAGAGGTACGTGCCCGAGAACGGCCCAGAGCTTGTGAAGAGACTATCCGAGGAAATCAAACACAAGGTGAAGCTGCTGTGTTTTGAACGCTACAGGCTCGTGGTCTTCATTCAAGTCGGACAAATTGAAGGAGCGGATACGATGGTCATTAGCCGCTGTGTTTGGAACACCGAAACGGACTGCTATGCCACAGCAACCTTTCAAAATGGATGGGTGTATGCTATAGCGACAACGTACGGGATATATCTCGATTAAGCTACCCCTACAACACTTTTCTATCTGCCCAGGATCTATTTCCTGATAACTGGATCTAGCTTCAAGAAGCTTTCTCGACCAGCATGCCTTTTCGAGTTCGACTCAAAAGATGACTCAAAGAAAAATGAAAACCACTTGAGAGTCTTTTCTTTCGCCGAACCTCTATCGGTTTGTAATGCTATGTCCTGTGCACGTTTTTAAACCTGTTTTATATAATGTGGATCCATCGTTCGCAAGAAATTACGAAAATGTCGACAGTGTCGAAAAAAACAATCCGAAAACTCGTTTGCATTGATCAGGTATAAGATTGCGGACACAATTAGTGTAAAAAAGGTGATGAGTATTGCAAAATTTGGTTGAATAAAAATTGGGCAAAACAAAACAAGTGTTTCTTTCATATAAAATGTCAATTGAGCCGTCACTGCACAGCTGCAGTCTCTATGGAGAAGATGAAAGATCCAGCACTGGGGGGGGGGTTAAGCCTCAACGGATGATGACTCTCAAGATCTGGAACCGGTGCAGCGTGCAAGGGTGTCAATTGCTCTTCAAAAGGGAGGGGGGGGTGGGACATAACCTTGAATAGTGCTAGCGCGAAGCGCAAAGTCTTAACAGCCCTAACGCTTACCTGGGTGCTGGGAAAGTTTTGATTCTAGATGTTTTGTGGTGCGATCTGATGCAATTTCCGGCCACCTTAACCAATTTTTCAGCACACGCTTTTGCAAGACTTATTTCAATTTGAAACTAATCGTATCCGAATATTATGGATCAAATGTTGGCCTACTCCCCACCCCGACATTTTTCATTTATTTAGTGTCCGGAAAGAATGGAGGACACAAATTCCCCCATTTTAAAAAGTGGGGACATATCGCCCCCGTCCCCCACCCACACAAGTGTGTGTTTGCCTGCAACTGGCAACCCCCTATTGTTCCTCTTTTGTTTGTACTTCAACTTTTTTAGAAGACCACCCATATGTTTTGTACACAGTTGTCAATTGCGGACCCTCTGTCAATCGGGGACCTTATTGTCCTCTATTGTTCAGGGTCCCCAATTGAATGCAGAAACAAACTCAATTGACACCCGCAGCGTAGAAATTAGACTCCACCAAGAAACAGGCTCACAAATCGTAATGTGCATGACGTGATCAACAAAACAATGACAACTAACGTGCGCATTTTCAGTTACCCCATAGGTAAACAGAGGCTCGTTCGGAGTTCTTACTTTGAATGACACAGGTTCAGTTGTATCTAAAGCCGAAATTTCAGATGGATCAGACCTGAGTTAGTGATCTGCACATTCAAGCACAAGATCAAATCATCGCCAGAGTACCAGTGGTGGATCCAGTAGGCTGGAGGGGGACATGTCCCCAGCCCCCCATCTCCCGATGTTGTCAATGATGACATGATTACGTGACGGCTTTTCCATCATGCAAAGTCGACTCGAGACAAATTGATGAATTTCGGTATCATCAACCCTCAGTGTATCAGTAAAGAAATTACTATTAAGCTGTTTGAATTCATTGCAATAGCTGCCTCCGCATGTATTGCAGAAAATACATAAGTTTTCGTGAACGTTTACTCTTGAAAACAGCAAACGACTTGTTGTCTTTCTCCGAGTGAGAATTCGTTTACTGAAACTCATCACCTTGCAGAGGTACAGTCCATAGTGTGTGCAGTGCACTGGCCTAAAAGTGAGATCAAGTGCCCGTATAACAGTGTTGTAGTCGAGTCACCAATGTAGAGTCTGAGTCCCGGGTCTCAAGCCTCGAGTCTGAGTCCAAGTCTCGAGTCACAAACTTCGCCGGAGTCCGAGTCCGAGTCCGAGTCACAAACCCAGAGTCTGAGTCACAAGTCATGAATCAAGTCGTTCAGCTAATTAGGCTTAGACTTCAGTTTCGCTGGTTCCTGTCAGAGTTTGAACATGCGGTTTCGAAAGCAGCTTCAAAACTGATCGAACCAGCGAGACCAAAGTCTAACCGAATTCAGTCGTTTCGAAAACGCCGATACCAACACCACAACCACTTCGCCCATCCACGCCCATGTAACTTCACACGCCCAGCGCAGGCCACGCTTTTTTTTAGTTAAACGCGAGCCTGGCCATTTCGCTAAAACTGTTCATATTCGCGACTGGTTCTGGAGACTATGAGGCTGAATATTTACGCCAGTACGAGAGTGTACATAACAAAGTCGCCCAGCGCATAGTCCGATTACCTCCGCACAGTTTGTGGATACGGAATTTGACGCGTCTGGTTAACTCATCAGTGGATGTTTAGCCGTACATACATGTAAATGGGCGAGGTGGAAAATGTGCAACGTAACGACGCTCGCTCCTCGCATGCAAACCAGTGATAGCACGGGTGGATACAAATTAATTTTTTACGGCGTATACGGTAAATATATAATATGTAAATAAATGTATATAATTAAAATACTTGACTCGAGTCACGAGTCAACCAGCTCAAGTCCGAGTCATAGTGGTCGAGTCCGAGTCATTACCCTATGTGACTCGAGTCGAGTCCTGGACTCGAGTTAAACTACACTGCCATGTTGTGCTTGAATATGACGTGAGAGACGTGGCACTATCGGCCTCCAGAGTTTTCCACAGAGAGGAGCTGCATCCAAATGGTCGTGGCTGAGCATTCAGATGTGCGGCTACTAGTAGGAAGCCACTGCATGGTTAGTGGCTGCTTCCCCTTCCCCTTGACGTGCGTTTCTCCCATCCACAGCCAGTACAGATTCGATAACTTGGTTTGGGCAAAATGGAACCAGACTGTTTGGACATGGCCCAACGCGCTCCATGGTTTGTTACCTTATGACATAAAGCTGCATGCTTGCCTGCGATATGATCGGAATTCCATTAGCAATGAAGGATAGACTCAGCCTGTAGATTTCTCTCCGCTTGACGCAATCTGATCTCTCCTTTGAAGCTCATTATACACCCAGAATTCGCACACAAAAAAAGGTTGGTGAACGCTCCATAGCAAGAGTGCAGGCCTGTCCTGTCTACGCGGCACTAATAAAGCTGATGAATGGACTAATCCTCAGCGCCCGGCCAGATCGAAGCACATAGTGACACGCACCCACAGTGTTAGTCATGTTAATACAACGCACAACTTTTACGTAAATTATTGTAAATTTTACGTGGCGGCGTAAAAGTTGGCCATAAACACATAACTCGTGTAAAAATACTAAATTACAGTTAAAGCAAAGCTCAGGTGAAAATTACAGAATAGTGTGCACTTAATTTTGGCTAAATTTTACTGAAAGCATATTACTTTTATCAAACCCTTGTTACCAGTTTTTGACCATTCATTCTGTTTGTGTATTATTGATGGTCCGTGATGTAGCATTTCCCTCTACGAAGCAGGATAAGCCAAGTGCACGCCACGGTGTCATCAGCGACTTCTGACCCACCACTCACTATTAAATGAATTCGCCAGCTGCTGTGGAGGAAACAGACATTCGAGATCAACTGCCGGCCGTTCTGATGATGTCACTCACATGGTCGTTGAGAAACGCCACATTCGAAGGTGTCATTGAATAAATCCTGTAACCACACATTTCTTGTTCCTTGAAATCCTTTGGCAAGAGAGTTCATATCATCAGTGCTAGCGGCCCCCCGTCCCCCATCGCACCAGCCCCCTCCCCTCCAATTAGCCACCGCATGATACTGTGATAAAATACACTCTGAAAGAAGAAGTAAATAAACCCATATTCATTCCACTGGTCCAAGCTGCGCGATTCTAGATCAAGGTGGAATCCACATCCAAATTTTAGGTGGCAAAACCTTCTGGGGGCATAAATTCGGAAGTTTTTCTCGTAGGCCTAACTTTTGTGGCTTTGCTGAGGGGTGAGGCTAAATTTTTGAGGGTTGATATTCGCTCTGGGAAAAGGGAGAAATGAAATTAACCTCCAATCATTATTATCATTTTCAAAAATATTTGCTCGGGATTTTTTTAGGTAGGCGTAGCCCCCATCACTGCCCACCCCTTCATCCGCCCTTGTGCTGGATGAGTCAACCCGGACACAAACAATCTGAAATAGACGTCGTTTTCCAAGACTGGATTGAATCATTGTCATGAGTCAACGGACATCCGGCATTGCTGTTTTTCAGCACGTTAGGCCTGTCATATTGAGACCTATGTAAAACGCAGAGAATGCCCTGGTGACGGCATCATAATGTGTTTGTCGGTTTGTCGACTATAAAGCCCAAAGCTATCTGTTGAATAAACACTGTTCTTCACTTCACACCAGACTGAAAAACAGGGTGAGTGATGACTCTTCTTAGTTTATATTGTTTCGTGAGGCTCAGCCCCTCATTTGGGGGTACATTTGTGTCGATGAGCTGTTGAAAAAGTGGACAATATTTTGACAGATTTGGCCTCTTGGTGAAATTTTCAAAATGCCATCTACTGAAATGTTGTACGTCCCTAAACCAACTTATGTCCCCTTTATGGAGGTGTCAAGCCCCACTTCTAATACGATAGGTGAAGGCCGGCGAAGATTAGATCCTTTCGAACACAAATTTTGCTTATCTTCTACTGTTGATCGAAAATATTTGACTGTATACCTCCCTAAGCTGTCTCCCTCTATAATCCTGAGTCGTCTGCCAATATCTTAGATCAAAATGTGCACTGTAGATAGAAATACCCTACGGTTGCATTGTTATAGTGTTACGTTTTTCACAAATAGGAATTTATGATATGGATCGTGCCCCGACGAAGCTGTTTTGGTCGCGGTTAAAAAAATTGCTTCCTCCATAATCTTTTATCTCCTTTAAAAGCTGGTTAAAGACTCGTGTGCACGGATTCTCAGAAGTGAAACGGGAAAATGGTCTGACCTTGACCAGAATAGAATTTTGCGCATCCTCTTGCCATCTGTGTTATTTACATTTTGGACATCTGATGACCACAAGATCTTGACCCTACTTTGCCTTGGAAATAGCTACAGATGCAAGACTACTTGCCTGGCCTATCATTTTTATTTGAAAGGCTGTCTTTTGCTCAAGAAGCATGACCATTTTGTCAACTGAAATAGATTTTTGATGAAAAAGATGAGTAACACACTAGACTTTCAGCGCAGTAGGCTCTCTCCAGATAGCATCACACCTGATCAAGCATACCACTAAATCAGTCAATTACAGTTGATTTATTCGATTTCGCCTCGAGCAGCGTCTAATAATTTCCCTATCGCTCCCTCTAACAGCTCCTCAGTCAACATGAAGATCGGTGCACTGTTTGCAATCACCCTCTTGGTGGCGCTAATCGCAACTAGCGAGGCTAGGGCGATGGGAAGCGGTAGACAAGGTAAACACACCTAACGTATGGATGCAATTTTCAAAAATGGGATGAACTGAACAGTGGCCAAGATAGTTCCCATAAACACTGCGCTTTTACTTCTGTTCACACAATGACGTGATATACAATGCAATGTAAACTTCAATGTGACAGATGTTGCCTGAAACTGTGTTGTTTTCGTGGGATGATTTTTTTTACACTCAAGAATTTAAAATGCTGTCCTTATTTTTCTACACCAAAGGCTGCCAGAATTACTCAGAAGACGGATTTCAAATATTTCACATCACTGTGTGGACATTTTACGCCGGTTTTCAGCCTTTGTGAAAGTATTCAAATGCCTCCTGATTAAAAACGATTATTAATTTTTTTTTAATACGCGCGGCTCACAGTAGGCGACAATAAGCCGGCAGCTGAATGCTTCAAGTGCCCCCGGCCAACGCGGGATATCCGTGTGTGCGCCTTCGACGGTGTCAGCTACCGCACCTTCCCCTCAAGGTGCATGGTCGACAGGAAAGCTTGCAAGACTGGGAGTAGCTTCACCGTCGTCTCGGATGGTGCGTGCCCCCTGCCCACCTTGCCCAACCCTCAGGTGGATGAGGCAGGCGGCGACAATAAGCCGGCAGCTGAATGCTCCAAATGCCCCCGTCCAACGCGGGATATCCGTGTGTGCGCCTTCGACGGTGTCAGCTACCGCACCTTTCCCTCAAGGTGCATGGTGGACAGGAACACGTGCCGGACCGGAAGTAGCTTCACTATAGTCTCACGGGTTTATTGCTTCGGACCAGACCGTCAGGTGTTCGACAGAGAGGACGACAGTGACAGTGACAGTGAGGAAATACCGGAGAACAACGACACGGACGGAGGCGGCAGCCCGATCACATCAGGTAGTTGAGACACTAACTGCCTCGTACATGTATTTCCCACTGTAGTGATGGAGTCCAAATTTTTCGCTTCATGCAAAATGATGTAGGCATTCCGTTTCCGTATATCGACTGGCTCACTTCCCTAATTCTTAAGGCATGTGCTTAGGGTCTTATTTTCTTGTTTTAAAGCAACTAAGCTGTTTTGTCTCCAGAATTTGACGAGGAAAGTGGCACTGTTCTCGCGTAGGAGGGAAATGCCCACGAAGAAGCAGACAAAATCTCACCTTAGTTCACAATATTACAGATAAATATTAGAAATATGACCGATACTCCAACTGGTAAATATTAATTTTCATTAATTTCCTTTCTTCTCAGCTCCAGTAACCCCGTCGACCGTGCCATCGCAACCGCCGACAACCCTACGCACGGTTTTTGCATCGGGGACCGACACTTTCTCGTTACCCAACGGCACAACTCTTCCCTCCGGATCTCTGGCACCGTCGATGACTGCCCAGACCAGCAGCCCGGCCGCGGGGACACCTGCCAGCGGGGACCCCGCCGCGAGTATTTCCGTCACCAGCCGCCCGTGCAACAGCTTCGACAGCTGCGCCCCGTCGTCCTCCGTGTGCGGCACAGACGGGAACACGTACCCCTCGCAGTGCGTGCTGGAGGTGACGGCGTGTGTTGACAATCTCGACACGCTGACAGTGGCTTATGCGGGAGTTTGTCGTCCATAGATATCCGTCTGAATTCATTCCCTTGACAAGGGAAGACTTAACACAGAGAAGCTAATAACACCCTTAAGATTACTTGTTGATGTCTTCCGAGGCTCCGGTGTCTTCCTTTTTTGTTAGTTCGGGGAACATTATTGGCGGCCTTCTGAACTTATGAGAATTGAATCTTAGGTCGTGTCCGAAACGAGCTTCCAGAGCTACGGCTAGGCCAATTGTCTACGCATCTCCACGCATTTCCAATGGAGCGAAGACCTAGACCTAGCTCTAGACAAGAGATTCGGACGCAGCCTTATTGTTTTTGTACGCATTATTATCCAATAGACATGATAAGGATCTATGTGCAGAACATTTTAAATACTGTCCTTACAAATACAGTTTGTGTCTCAATATACGTTAAGTGCCTTTTTGATTTTATGCAAATGAGAATTTTCATATTCATGAGCAAAACTGATGTCATTTCAGGCATAAATGTGAGAATTACTTTGGATTGTGTACACAAAACTACTGTAATTTTTCATATTTTGCTGTCCTAACATTCACTTTTTTCAATAACATTGTTGAGAAAGAACACGTTCTTCGTAATAAGACATCGAGCAACCCTTCCTCCGATATGTCTCACATTTTTAACAGAAAAAAACATGAACTGAGCGGGGTCTTACCCGAGTGACATCACAACAGCAGCGCCCTATTGTCTGGAAAGCAAGGACAGTTTTGATTTTATTTAAATGTCTCCTTTTGCAATACCCTTGACCCAAAAGGATGTCAAATATTTTTCGGATATCGAAGAGTAAAACAGGAGTTGAACAAAAAGTGCGTCTGAGTAAAATACATCGCTTGAACCTTTTAGAGGCTTACATTCATTACAACACTTATCTTGTCTTCAAACACACATGCTATCGATGACGAAAACAGGTGACCTTAGATTGGGAAATTGTGGCATTGCAGTTCGGGAATAATGGGGCTTTCTGTATTTTAAAAGAACAATCTTCCATTTTTTCAGAAAACAAAATTGTTTTGTGCAATTAATTCTTTTTGTTCCTTATCCTGTTAAAGTTCATATTCCAGTTTGGTAAAACTTGACTTTTTTTTTGCTTTCCATTCTTTCTGGATTAAATTTTGAAGATTTCCTTGGTTAATTAATAAATTCAGGTAATTTAATAAAATCGTTGAATGTGTTGTCAGCTTTTTTCACAAGGAGCCTTCAAATTGGGTTAAAATTCATCAAACAAGAACAACCCAGAGCCGGAGGTATTTGGGGGCATGCCTGAGGGAAGGCCTATGAGTCCTGAGCTGGACCAAGAGAGGGCGCAATTTTCCTAGCAATCGAGGCACCCTTTGTCGGAACTTACTTCGCTGGTTCACAATCAGCTGTAAAAATGCGCACGCACGATCGCTTCGCTACCAGCAAAACGAAAACTCCCGACCAACATGGCTCTTTCCAACCGATGAGGGGGTGCTTCTGCTCACGGCGGATTATCTGTTACTTAGTGGACCCATGCCTCCCAACAAGACGATCGTTGACCCACTACATGCATTATATTTTTTATGAATACAGTGCACCGTATATCTTCTCAATAATGTTTTCAATGAGCATAATGTGGGGTTCAAAATTTGAACATGAAAGCATGTAGGAACATTGAACACTGAACATTGCGCTCTCTAATTGACAACACAGCAACAGCGCCCTCACCTTCCAGAAAAGCTTGGAATTATTTTTTGTTTAAAAAAGGGTGTGTCTATTCAGTTCACTTAACTCAAAAGGATTTCAAACGGTGTCCATACATTGGAGATGAGTATAACGATACACAAAATGGATAAAATTTATTGCATGGATCCTTTAAAGTAACAGAATAGGAGACGCAAAACGTGTATAAACCCATTGAGAGATCGCACCATTCTGTATCAACGGCTAGATCTAGATCTTTGCCGGTCGAACATGCTTGTACATGGGCACACGATAGCAATAGACGTAGCCGTAGCGTTACATGACTATTCCGGACATGGCTAGAGTTCACGATGGTAAACAGTGTCGCCCATCATGACTTCAAGTGAAGTGGTGCCCCTCCGCCAGAGCAGTCAATGTGATAGACGCGCGCTCTATGCAGCGAGGAGCTTGCACGAAGTAGAACGGGTGACATTCAGACTGGCCCCCGTGCACTGCACCCAACCCAAGATTTTCAAATACCCAGCCGTCAGAAAAAAAGGGAACCTACATATCTGTTTCAGAGGTGCTTGACTCGTTGCTGGCTTTCCGTCGTTGGTCAGCAATTTGAGATGACGTCACCTTACAGCAACGTCCTTAAAAACAGGGTGTTTTGCGCCCACATGGGCTCAATATAATGCATGATTTCTAGTTACAGGACGCCGACAATCAAAGCTCTCTTTCTAAAAAATTATTGAAACTGTGGCTTTTATTTGTCAAATCCTCAAATCTCATTTTGTCTGTTGCACCTGTTGTCCGTTTCTGGGAAAACAAACCCTAGTTTGTGCAAAACTTAGTAGTGTCCTTATAGCGTGCAACCTTTCCCGTCCTTAGTGTATTCAAGTTGCAGACCTTTTTTGGTAACGTTGAGGTCACCGTTTTGTCAACCAGTTGTTGGCAATCTGTTGTCGGCCTCTAATGCAAAAAAATCTTAATAATCATACACGCACTAGCACTGAACGCTGAATAAAACAAAATGATACATCCCTCCTTGACACTTATGATGCAAGTGTGAAAATTGAAACAGATCTTTTGCCAACCACCTTTCTGTGAACTTCGACTGCCCACACGGGGGTTGGTAAACAGAAAAATAATGTGTCTGTGTTGAAGCTCTAGGGGAAAGAATGATGAACAAATAGAGCTAAAGATTAAACACAGGAAAAATCATTGGTAGAACCCCCCCCAAAAAAAACAACACCCCAGCATTTTTTCATTCCCTTCTTTTCAACGGAATCCAAACAGAATTTAACAAAACTTCTGCATTTTTAATCACCGGAAGACTGACAAATGCTGAACGACCATACTCTGACCTAACCTGGATACTCCAGAACACCTACATACAAGGTTGACATCACCGTCAGAAGCTGAACAGGAAAACCATCTGCATGCAGGGAACTATATTGACGTCATGCAGTCTATGCCCGCAGTACAATACCTCTCCTTTCAAATTACTCGAAAGTAGCCCGGCAAAACGAATTTTAAAAACCATTTTGCAATTCAATTGACTCCCGCTTTAGAGGAGACATAAAACATGATCGTCATGACTTAAAAAACATGTAGAAATGCTTGATTGTAATGCAGATGACTCCCCATCTCCCCTTAACGGCAGAAAAGGGGCGAAACGTCAACCTTTTGGTTCGTATGCTAATAAAAATTTCCATATGATTCGTGAGGTGAACTGTGAAGTCATCCCAGGTAGAACAATAATGGCTCTGTGTACAAATATTTATCACACTTGTCTAAATTTTTTGGAGTGAGTTCCGCTTTTTCATTTGTTCATCGTATTAAGTAGCTTGTTTGGATGATAATAATAGCCATTTTTTTTTTCAAAA